CACTTCAGCCAAGCCTCTAAAAATTATATAGAATCACTGAATGACTTGAGATAAGAGTGTTGAAAAACCCAAATCTTGTTTCTTAGACTGTGTGCAGTACATCTCCCCACTGGTTTTATAGTAGTGTACACCTGACTAACTTTTTTAGACCTTGACAGTCTTTGATGTCTTAATGTGTAAGCTGCATAGATAAATGACAGAGGTTACTCACTTGAGATGTCTCCCGCTGATAGTGACCGGTGCTTATATTATCTTTATCACCGCTGTGTTTTCTATGTTAACTTGTAATTGTGTTTCTCTGCCTTATCTGTCAATTTTCTGGGTTTTTCCCCGTGGGTCGGATTTGTTTGACACTACACATCAGTCATTTGCGTAGTTAAGACCTAGTGTCTTCTTGTCATCCCTAGATATGCTCGTTTACCCGCTTCTTATGGTGTGTTATATTAGCCAGTCCGGTATAATCGGAAATATTGATATATGTAGACCCAATATTCTACAAGTCCATGTCTGTTTGCATTTCTCTCACCGCACTTATGACCACTAAAATCCTATTAGTTGTTTAGTAGTTTAATTTATCAATGTCATTGATGTCTCTCAGGGGTTAATTAAAGCATAGGCATTGTCAATCATAATTTAGCCGTTGATAAGAGGCAGTTAAAGGTCTCCATGTAAACAGTCAGTCTTCTCTTCTTGTCTTCTTGCATCGCCTTCTTGGTGGTATCATGTCGTGTTGCCGTTGTTATTCATGATAGCCGGCAGAACAATAAGCTTGAGAATCGACTAGGTAGGAAATTCCTGGGTGGAACACCAAGTGTATTTGTGGTCATATCAAACTAGGTGACGGGCACAAACATACTTAAACTTGGAACATAAACAGTGTCAACATACCTATATAATAATAACTTTACTCCCAGCAAAGAATATTAATTATACAAAATGAGTTTTTCAGCATTTTTACGCAGGATACAAGAATCTAGCTTTTTTTCATAAATATGTATATACAGAAGATTTAAAATAGTAATAATAATGGTAATTATAATATTAATAATGAAGCCACTATGAACAATGTTGGTGAGAACATAACCAAGTTAAAGTAGATAATACACGTATTAATAAATCTTTGCTTATACTTTGCAATTCAGTTACTGATTTAAAAGGTATATATGTTGTTTTCTAAAATCTGATTTTCTCTTTACACACAGCCAACCGTGCTAAATATGGTTGTATGGTAGAATTTTTGTATTTACTTTTATGAACTGAAATGCTTCTAATGATGTTTCTTCTGGTTTTACGACAAGATAAACAAAACAAAAAAGTTGAGAATAAGTAGAGAGGATGTTCGGATGTATCAGACGAGATAACTTTGGCGAAATGTTTGTAGGGACTGGAGTGCCCATTAACGACAACAATGTCAGTTAGCTGAGTAAAAGGTGCACACATCACTAACCCAACTTACAATATTCAGTAATCTCGTAGTATGATGAACTCTTTTCTGAGAAGTCCAGTGACGAATAAAATGGCGGACAGTTAAGGAAATGAAGGGAACACTTGAATTAATAAATTGCATGAAAACAGGTTGAATTATGCCAGCAAAGAGTTTTAACTTCTTTATGCAAACATTTAAATGAAACATTTTCACATTAATCAACAAGATGTGAGAAAACCAACAGAGATTCGAAGCGAAACTGATGCCGAGATGAGAGATATTCGATTTAATCCCTATCACACTACTATCAGCATTACGTTCACGTTCCTTAGTGGGGCTTCAAGCTAGTGGCTTGAAGTTTTTGTAGCAGTGTTTATTTTACAGGATAAGGTGGCTAGCCACCTCATGCCCAACCTTTCTTCTTTACCAGCATTATTTCTGGCTTAGCAAGGTAAAGGAGTGCGTCTGTGGCCGGGGACCGAACCCCGGACCATGTGCATGGTTGGCGAGCGTCCTAACCGCTATGCCACGGACGCATTACTGGGATTATGTGCATGAATCAGTCCACGCATGTAAGTGACGTTCGCATCTGAAAATTGAGCCAACAATATGACACTTAGATGGATCAAGTTTAAGACCATCTGTTAACTTTAGACACGATTCTGTTCGCATAAGGACAATCCAATGCAGAAACTACTGGGACAGAAATGGTTAGATCATTGGTATATTTAATGAGATTAGCTTTGGAAGAATATGGAAGTTCAGGCAAATTGAAAATAATACTAATAACAGCTTTATTCCAAACAGTATTTGTGGTACAGATATGGAATTTTCAGCGTGCATTACAGTATATTGCATCTAATCACCTCATAAATTATATAAGATTTTTAAAAATCAAAGATATATAAAAATAAAACAAATAAGTTATAAATAAATAAAATAAATAAAAATTAAAAATTAAGAAAAAACAGCGTAGAGTATTTCATTTCAAACAATGCACCATAGGATTTGAAATATAAAGTTGATGTGTGGTAGAAGATGAGAACAACAGTGTAATAGTAACGAGGAAAGGAAAACAAAAACTAATGAGACTATTTGTTAGAGTGCTGCAGTAAGTTTATCGTGTCATACATAACGGATTTCTCATCACCACACAACAGCTGTGCCAGATATGGTATTGTGGAGTTTTGTATTTGGTAGTCCTAGCATATAGCCTCCTATAGCTGCTTCTAGCTCTACCAGATGAAATGCAAGGAGGGAGCTGCGTATAGAGAGGATTCTCGGGGTCCGACAATATTGTATTCGCTAGTTTCATTACATGACTTTATATGTCTATCTACAATAGTGTTAACCAGTTGGTTTAACGATATCCCACTTGCCCTACTAACGGCTTTTAGTGCCTGCCCTTCTCAGCGCGGCAAAGTCTTTCTTAAGTAGTCCAGGAAAGATTAATGAGGAGCAGTAAAGGGGGATGGGTAGAATACAAGAATTTACAAATTGAGAAAGCAAAGATTGCTTTATACCAGACTGCCTAAATTTCCTAATGTAGAACGTTAAGCGAAACATCTTTCTAGTAACTAGCAAGATGTGGGAAGACCAGGAAAGATCGGTGGAAAAACTCAGCCCAAGGTACTTGACATTAGATGTATTTTCAACCTCTATGCCGTCAATGATAGTGGGGCCATGTGAGCCGGCTGTTTGTTGTAGGTCACGTTTTCGTTTGAAAGTGAAATTGACTACCTGACATTTAGACGAATTCAGTTTAAGACCGTTTGAAGAGGACCACTGACTAATTTCGGACAGAAAGTTATTTCATTTGGAACAATCTGACTGAGAGTTGAGAGGCATAGAAACCGAGAGGTCACCGGCATACATAACAAAAGTGGCTACATCGGAATGAGGCAAGTCATGCGAGAAGAAAGAAAACAGAGAAGGAGGAGTAAGAGCACCTTGAGGAACACCAGCTAAAGTAAGTGAGGTAGTGGAGGACTTTGTATTGTAGACGGTGTACTGCTTTCTATCAGAAAAATAGGAACGCAACCACCTATTTGTCCAGCTCTCAGCCTGTGTTGCAGCAAGCTTACTTGGTAAGAGAGACCTGGGAACGGAGTCAAATGCAGATGTGTAATCAAGGAAGGCACAGCGAACGTATTTAGCTCCTTTATCTAAACTAGAGACTATGCTATGGTGGAGGACAACAGCGGCATCTAAGGTACACCTCCTATGTTTATAAGCAAACTGGTTGGGGTCGTTGAAAGGTTTTAAAGAGAAGAAAGAAAAAAAGAATGGAGAGAGTACATATATTGTCTATATTTCAGCAAAAGCTGATGTTAGCACATTCATACATCAGAAGTGTCAAAAAAAACACTGACTGTCTTATATAGAAATGTTTGTTTATTAACTAATTGAATGACAACTAGCACATACTTCATTCCTAGATACAGCCTGATTTACTCTCCAATAGTCATCCAGGAAAAGAGATCAGGTTGGTTATTAAGTTAGAAACCTCACCCCTTAAAAAAGAAACAAAAAAAACGCTACTGAAACATCACAGCTGAAAGTCTTATGTTTGCACTTAGAGATCAGCGCATGAAACTCTGCCGTATAGCTTCAGCTTCTTGGCAGTACTATATAACCTCAACATGATTCTCTGTTGGTCTGTAAAACTTCTCTACACTTGCTTTATTGTTATCGAAAGTCACATGTTAGATGTATATTAAGTAATATTTAGCAGTCGAATTCAGGAAACGAGTGAAATTACTCAGAAAAGTGAAGGTGTATTACTGAAGTCGGTTAAATAGACTTACAGTGAACTGACAGTTGGTATATATCATCAGCTTAATACGGTATAAGTTTCTGTATTGTTTATTTTCTTCATTCCTATTGTTCTCTCAGTGATTCATATCGTTAAGTGAACAGACATTTAACTTTATATTACAGGATTTTATAAGCATTTAGATTCATTTCAGTGTAGATTTATTAAAGAAGCACCATCATTTAGGAATCAACGGAAAACAAGCAGCCGTAAACGTCTGTTTCGTGCTAATTTGAGACTATCCAAAAGTATGCACCTATGGCTCCATGGAGGACTGGACCAAGGGTCTTCAGTTGCAATTCACAGATCATTGAGTTCCAGTCTAAGTGACTGAACGATCAATGAACTTAATATCTTGACCTGAAGATAATAGGTTGGACTCCTGTTGGATGAGGTCGTTAGTGTGCAGTATTGAAGAAACTCAATCTAGGAAGAAACAGATGCTCAATATTACCTGAGTTTTGTGTAATCTCCAAGTGATGTTGTTTCGTGATGAATTCTCCACTGAAATATCTATAAATCCTCGATGTTAATACACTTTTCTGTCAAAGTGCTTATCCTATCATTATTATTATTGTTGAGCAGTTATGTAACTCTCACCATATAATTATGATGCCCTTGCTTTCTAAACTGTGCTATGGAGTCAGATGACTTGTCAACAGTTTCCTTGTCCTCTCTGTTGTTATGCTTCACTGATCATTAGGGTATGTGCTGCAAAGTGAACCTATTTCCGCATTCATAAAATGGTAGATAATGCAGATGCCCAGTCAACACTGCTCATTTGATGATGATGATGATGAAAATTCATCATATAATAAGGATGACAAAAGGGGTGAGTAAATCTTCAAAAAAGGACTGATTCTCGCAAACATTTACGCATGAACAAGCTTGACATAACAAAGAGGACTGCAGAGACGAAGATGAAACTGGTACTTACACAGAATACCATTAACATTTATGCTACATCATTAATCAAAGGTTAAATTACGGAATAATTAGTCATTACGACGTTTTGTCCACCAAAAAGTATACCGTTGGATGTTAATTAATTGTTGGTGAATGTCTGTGAGATCCAGGTTACAAGTTTGTTTCTGCTTACGACTACCCTAGCTGGACGCAACAGAATTCTAGTGTGATATGTTGTTCCAAAGTGGTAATCGTTTCCAGCACTAAAGCTATATACACTGTGTCACTTAGTGAGGAACGTCAACTCCAGTTCACTGAGAATCGCTTTCACTGATACTGTAACTGGTGAAACATACACTTTTAGTTTCCCTTAGGAGCTACTGTGAAATTTCCCCTTGTGTAAATCGCAGAAGGTAATAAAGGTGGATTGAATGTATGCTAGGAAACATTCAAATGGTTTCACATGGAAGATAGACCCTTGAGGGTAACCGAAAATGGAAAGCGTTGGGTATCGCTTTCAGTGTGACATGCAGCAGATGATGTTAAAAGGTGGTGGAGATTCGTGAAGTTGGTTAAATTGATCGTAACGTTGAGTGAAGATATGCTGCTGAAGCATTCACATATCATTTATGTCACCTGATAGTGATTGCTAATCTAATAGAAGTAATCTAAATATTAATCAGCCATTTCGCTAGTTTGAAGTGGAACTCATTGTCGGTGTAGCAATCAGTTTCCTTTTCTGAATGAAACCATATTGATTCCTAGCCTCATAGTGTGTAACTCGCAAATCGCAATTATGTATTACCTGCTCGGTGAAGTAGCCACCCAAAATCCGAGTGGTTTCAGTTGATTCAACCCTCTGAGATGGTTCAGAATGAGATATATGTATGATGAGCTCGTCAGTTTCGTCTACTTAAAGTATCAAATGCGTATTCACAATAAATAGTCAAAAATACCAGTAAGCTGTTTAGGACGTTGTCGCTTTTCACTAGCTTAGATAGCATTTTTTCAACTACAGGCAGGATTGATGGGGTGTCTAAGTAACGCCGACTCTGGCGTAGACGAGATGTTCGACTATCAGCCAAAGGGCGGGTGTATTGCTCATCAGTCCGCTCCGTCCCCCTTTATAGCTGTGAGTGAGATCTGGCCACTGAGAGTGAAAGACATGAAAAGACTAGCTGTCTTTGATCATAGGTGCCTGTGCTCTATTTCCCGTGTAAAGTGGCATAATAAGGTGAGCAACATTGAGGTTAGGCGTAGAGTTCTAGGTAAACAGGTGAAATTAATCGACGAAGTCGTGAAGCTACAAAGACTGAGATGGTTAGGACACGTGTTAGACATGCCTAGTCATCGCCTCCCTCGACGAGCAATGTTAGCGGATATAGGGTCAGGCTGGAAAAAAGCTAGCGGCGGTCAAACAAAAACTTGGCTTCACCAGTCAATGAAATCCACAACAGTTAGTCTAAGCCACGTAGGAAGGTGTAGACTTTCAGGCTGGGGTCCTCGGGACGGTAAAAATCTATGGTTGGAAACAATTGGTGACATGGCTCAAAATCGTTCTCAGTGGCTGGTGCAGATGCATCCACTCCTTGTGACTTATGATCTCCAATGAAACTGTTTTGTTTTTCTTTATTACTCCTCCTTTGTATCACCCCTCTGCTCACTGTTTCTATTATGCTTTTCTTGTACTTTCTTCTCTTGCTTCGCGTGCTACACGGAGTGTGGCGACTTGAACTGTCGCACATTTGTGCAAAGTTCTATGTCGAAAACAGACAGACAGACAGAGGTGTCTAAGTAACCAAGATCGGGAGGACAAGACAGCTGTTCATTACTATGAAATTACCATGGAGGTTTACAGTACTCAGCACACAGCTAACGAAAGATGGTACTTTATACTTGGTGTCAAGCCGCGCAATCCAGCAGTCAAGTTAACATTCGCCCACAACACCCTACTTAAGTGCGTCTGGATTCTAGTTTATGTTCTGTGGTGGTCACATTTACAGTGCAAGAACTTTGTACATTGTGAGACTTAGTCAGGCAAGCAAACTCTATTTTAATAAGTACCACACTTCATTGATATCGTTGTGATGTTTACTGTTGATTAATTATAATGAGTAGTTAAACATCAAAATTGAAGGAACAATCATAAAAATAATATATGAAAGAAGAGAACAAGAAGTTCAGCAAAGATGGTGATCTTTTCGGCGATTCCATTCTTAAAAGCAGATGTACAATCGCATTTATATAGATTATTTTACATTGATACAATTATTATTTGTTTAATTCCACATAGTAACGAAGGTGATAATAATTTTCAACTTGATAAGAAGGTTTGTAGGTACGAATATAGATTACAAGAGGCTTAGAGACAAGATTGCATAGGATTAGAAAACAGTTACAACGTATGCCAAATTAATATTTGATAACTGGAAAAATAATTTTAAAGGTGAATACGAATTACAAGAGGCTTGGAGACGCAGGGATAGAACGAATTACAGATGTGAACAAACTGAGCTTGAAAACAAATTGAAATCAAAATTTTCAACTTGAAATGTAAGTTAGGAGGAGGTGTGAATATAGATTACAAGAGGCATAGAAACAAAAAATTACACAGGATTAGAATATAACTGTACGATGGTTATTCTAAACTGATTAGATCAGGAGGAGCATGGAAACAAACTTAAAATAACTGATTTTATAACTGAAAAAATAGATATAAGTATAAAACTTGGGCACTGTGGTAGAGTATAATTCCATTATAGATAAGATTTTTATTTTTGATAAATCGCACAGTGTTTACAGTTATATGAACTGATGACGTTTCGAGCACAATTTATTGATCATAATCATATCAAGGTAATCACACGACTTCCTAAATTCATTTATATAGTTCCATTGTTTTTCTCTTGATTTTCACTTGATTTGATTGGTAATAGTATTTTCCATATTTCAGGTATGAGTGACGAGTCATTCCTATTGCATGTGTTGGGTGTAGACTCGATGAACAAGGATTCAGTAGTCAACCTCTCTCTCCACCTACCTAGATTACTTTTTAGAATTTTAACCCTCTCCCACCCTATTGTGTGGTTGTGTGTTAGCGCATGCATTGCAATTGCTGAGGTTTTTTCTAAATTATTTATCTTCTCGGGGTCAGCCATTCTTACCTTAGCTAAATTCTTGTGCTCTGACAATCTGACTACCCCTGACCTACTAGTTTGACCTATGTAGTTGACCTCACAGTCATTGCATGGTATTTTGTAAATAATATTATTTTGTCTAATTGGGTCAACTGGGTCCTTTAACCTACAGAGCTTGTCCCTGAGTGAGTTTGTAGGTTTAAATGCCACCCTAATTCCTATTTTATTCAGAATCCTACGTAGTGTCTCAGATGTCCCCTCTTTATATGGTATAACTGTGGATGACTTATATTCCCTCCTATTTATGTTATTATTACTAGTTTCACAATTATTTTTATTTTGTTTTTGGCCTTTAATGATCTTCCTAATGAATTTTATAGGATAGTTATTCAACACCAACGCTTCTTCTATCTGTTTTAATTCATCATTTAGATCTTTTTTTGTTGATTACTGAAAAAATAGGATGAATTGAGTGAAGGCAAAGAGAGAAAATTACACACAAAGAGAACAATACAAAACCAAAAAACTGAAGGATAAGGGAAAACACTGAACTAGGTCCTTGGTAGTTGTAAAGGCTGGACTAGTTTCTTTTGAACACATAACTCCGACTTTTCGATGCCTATGGCGAGAGCTTCTGTAGTGCATAGAAGTTGGAAACACACTGACTGCCTTTGGTAGATTTTTGTTTACTTTGTAAATGACTATAAATGATGAGTCAGTTGAGATTCTGTGACAGGTATTGACGAGATGTTCAGTTATTGCGCTTTTGATTGAACCAATGCCTCCTATTTGCAGACATACTGGATGATGTTCTCTAACACGTTTTGATAGGACCCGCATAGAACGACCTATGTATCTAGCTCGGCACGAGCAGGTGAACTGATATATGCACATTGAAGTGGTTACATGCAGAAGTCTGTCCCTCCCGTTGCTCCGAAGGAGTGGGTGGCTAGAGAATATCACTCTTAGAGTTGCTGCAGGAAACGTTTTCTTCAGGGAATTGGAGATTCTCCTTTTAAGGATATCTGCTGCTAAGTCTCCCCTGGATTCCAGAATAAAATAAAGTGTTTTCTTTTACACTGAAATGTGGCCTTGGTTTCATGTTCTTCTCCAGGAAACGTGATGGGTATCCGTTTTGAACCAGGCTGCTTTTGAGAAATAGGAGCTTTAGCTGTCATACAGACTATAAATACTCTCTCCATTCAAGTGTTGGTTTGTAGGGATTTGATTGGTTTCAGGATTTCACCATGAGCTGACATTAGTTAGAGAACAATTGGAAAACCTGGTAGTACTGGACAGCTGTTTCGTCCGAGTTTGGGACTCTTCAGCAGTACGCTGGCTAGCGGCCGCGCTACGTCGTGAATTGGCAGAAGTTAGAATTCAAGAACCATTGAATTAGGTCCCAGTGGCTCAATGGTCTACGAGCTCGCCTTGTAACCGGAAGGTCCTGAGTTCGAATCCCGGTGGGTGCGTACTGCTGAAGAGTCCCAAACTAGGACGAAACAGCTGTCCAGTACTCCCAGGTTTTCCAATGGTTCTCTAACTAATGTCAGCTCATGATGAAATCCTGAAACTCTCTCCATTCCTTTTTGTCTTCCTTTTCGCATGACCTTTCACATACCTCCAAAGCTAACCTCACTTTGTATGCCTATCTTCTAACTACGCCTGTCCCCGTAGTTTCTGCATTGGTTTGTTTTTAGACATTTTCAGTCTAATTAGTCATTGTAGCATTTCAGTGACTAGAAAAAATACTATTGAATGTTAACTGATCACTGGCGGCTAGATGTGAAATCCAGCATTTATTGTTTTTCCCATCTCTGACACCCCAGCTGTGTACATCAATATTCTGGTGCATGATGCTTTTCAATAGGGGTACTTGAATCGATTTGTCATTGCTTTATATACTGAGATACCAGTTCGCCCATGTAGCCACCTAGAATCCGGGAGGTTTGAATTGATTCAGCTAAGACGGTTACACGAAACAAATGATATAACGGTTTGATGGTGGTTTTTTTTGTGGTTCAGCACATCTAAAGTAAAGTCTTTATTAAAAGAATATTTTTTATCCATCATTATTTGAACAGATTCGTCACATTCAGAAATACGCGTCGGTGGCATAGTGGTAGAATGTTTGTAAACCATGCATGTGGCTCATGGTTAGTTCCTCGGCAGACTAAGACCTCCTTTCCCTAAGCCATTAATAAGAATGCTAAAGAGGTGGGGGGTTGGCGTTGGGCATGAGTCTGGCAACTCCATCTCGTAAAAATAAATACCCCTGCTACCGAAATTTCAAAGCTCTAGCTTGAAGCCCTATGTTCCACTGAAAATGTAATAGTATTATTTTTTCCTTTAATTCCTAGAGGAACACAGGACTTCAAGATAGAGACTTGACGATTTGGTAGCAGTGGTGTTTATTTTTAAGTGATGCGGTTACTAGTCTCATGTCCAACAACCCTACACCCTCTATACCAGTCTTATTGCTGGCTTAGCGAGATAATTGAATGCATCAGTAGCCGAGAATCATATCAAAAACCACATACATGGTTGGCAAGCATTCTACCACTGTCTGTCTGTCTGTCTGTCTGTCTGGATTCAACATAGAACTTGGCACCGAAGTGCAGCAGTTCGAGTTGCCACGTTCCAAATAGCACACAGAGGTAGACAAGAAGATGAGTGAAGAGAATCAATAGAGTTTGACAAGTATAAGAGTGAAACAGAATGGGTAATGGTAGAAAGGAATATGAAAGATTACAGAGACTGAATACATCTGCGCCATTGACAACGATTTTGAGCCATGTCACCTATTGTCTCCAGCCATTGATTCCTAGAGTCCCGAGGGCCCCAACCCGGGAGTCTGCATCTCCCTACCTGACTCAGTTTAACTGTCAAGGATTTCATGGATTGATGCCATGTTTTTGTTTGGCCACCACTGGCTCTTTTCCAACCTGAACCTATATCAGCTAGCAATGCCCGTCGGGGGAGGCGGTGGTTAGGCATGCGCAGCACGTGACCTAGCCATCTTAGTCTATGTAACTTTATAGCCTCGTCGATTGATTTTCCCTCTTTGCCCAACACTCTACGCCTAACGTCAACATTACTTATCTTGTGAAACCACCTAACGTGAGACAGAGATCGCAGACATCTATGATCGAAAGCAGTCAACCTTTTCATGTCTTCAACGCGTATTGGCCATGTTTCAGAGCCATAGAGAAGGACGGAGCGAACTGATGAGCAGTACACACGTCCCTTGGTTGATAACCGGATGTCACGCCTACGCCAGAGATGGTGTAAGTCAGCGAAAGCAGCTCGAGCTTTTCGGATCCGTGCTGAGATTTCATCGCCAATCAGTCCGTTGGTGCTAATACAACTTCCCAAGTAGGTGAAGTGGTCAACATGTTCTATCACTTCACTCCCTATCACTAAGTTAGGGGTTGACGTCGTCCAGTCCTGTAGCAGCATCTTACATTTTGCAGGGGCGAATCGCATGCCAAACATACGAAGATTGCTGCTCAAGGTGTTCAGAAGACTCTGCATTTTGTCAGCATCCTCCCCTAACAGGACTATGTCATCTGCATATTCTAAGTCCATTAGATTATTCCCTGGTAACAAGTCGATTCCTAAGTCACTACGTTCAGTTAAGGATACTTCCATTAGCATATCTATGATGAAGTTAAACAGAAATGGGGAAAGTGGACATCCCTGTCGGACACCACTGGTTGTTACCAATTCAGATGACAATTCCCCATAAGCCCTTACACGACTACGTGAGTTTGAATAGAGTGCCTTGATTAGTGCAATGTACTTTCTTGGCACTCCCTTCACAGTCAGACATTGCCATAGTACCTTTCGATCCACGGAGTCGAAGGCCGCCTTCAAGTCAAGAAATATGACAATTGTTGGACGCCGAAAAGTGTGTCTATGTTCTAGAATCTGTCGAAGAGTGAAGATATGATCTATGCACCCTCTACCTGGTCTAAAGCCTGCTTGATTTTCCCTTGTCTGTTCCTCCCGAGTTCTGCTTAGTCTATGCATGATTACTGAGCCTAGGATTTTAGAGACTATGTTCGTTAGGCTGATCCCCCTATGATTATCACACGAGGACTTGTTTCCCTTCTTGAATATCGGTATAATAAGTGACTTACCCCAGTCTGATGGTACTGTCTCTGATTCCCAGACTTTGCCTAGTACCTCAGTTAATCTACAAACTAGTATGTCACCCCCATATTTAAACACCTCCGGAATAATTCCGTCGGGTCCTGCCGCTTTGCCTCGTTTCAAATTACTGATAGCTTTTGTAACCTCACCTACAGACGGCGGACCAGTGTCTATATCCCATTCGGGTACGTGGTGGATGGCGGGGAGGTTCAGTGTGGCTGTAGGCAAGTTAAATTGTTCCTCAAAGTGTTCTTTCCAGCGTTCAAGGCGTCTATCCTGAGAGCTAATTAAGGAGCCATTTTTCTCAGAAATAGTCTCACTTATGAATTGCCTTCTCCCACCCGATTCTGTGATGAGTCTAAAGAGTTGCCTAGTGTTGCCTATCGCCAATGCTTTTTCCATCTCTTTCGCCTTTGTCACCCACCACTGTTCACGGTCCTTGCGGAGACTTTTAGTAAGTTTCCTTTTGTGCAGCTTTCGCTCCTCATTGAATTCGGAGCTCGCCGGAATAAGTCTTCTAGCATCTATCAGTTCGGATGAGGCAGTCGAAATCCAGTGGTTTTTACTCACCTTTGGATTTGCCTTATTCACAGCTTTTACAGCTGTATCTATAGCTGACTGAATATTCTTCCAGGCTTCTCCAGGGTGAGCACAGCTGTCGAATTCAGATATGCGTTTAGCTAGTTCTTCCTCAAATAGGGATTTAGTTTCCTGATCGAGCTGGGGACGTGATGGTTTTACCGCCAGCTGTTTCCTACGTCCGTTCAGTCGTAAGCACACACGAGCCCGGACCAGTGCGTGATCGGTATCTACACACGTGTTCCAGAAGGAGCGACAATCTCCTACCGACCCACGCCAACGATAGCTTATTGCTATGTGGTCTATTTGTGTCCAGCGTTGGTTTGATGATGGGGGTCGCCAGGTTAAACAGTGTCTCTCCTTGTGTTTAAAGTTAGTGCTTACAAGAAACAAATGATTATCTGAACAGAACTGTAGGAGACGGTCACCGTTGTCGGTTCGCTGGCACGGAACTCCATAGGTGCCACCGACATCCTTCTCAGATTGACACAATTTCCCTACTTGAGCGTTAAAGTCACCAGCTAGAACGACTATATCTGAGCGTTTAGCCTTTCTCACCAAACTAGACAGCTTTTGGTAGAACTCATCCTTCGTTTCATCCGAACTGCAGTCAGTGGGGGCGTAGGCGGAGATTACGAAAAGGCATCGGCGAGTAGTGCAGTCCTTTCTCCTTCTTACTGATCCGTTCAGACGGACAGCACACATTCGGCTATCTACCGGGATCCAGTCAAGCAATGTCTTTTCTGCCCTAGTACTCAGAGCTATCCCTACGCCAGCTAATCCTCGTGAACTAGCTGTGGCATCTCCTGACACCCTCAAGGTGAATTTTGAAGATTCATCCTGTTGGCCAGGTGGGGTTAGGTGAATAACCACACTTGGGTCTTGTATGCGTGTTTCTGAAACACAACATACATCAATGGCTCGAGATGCCAGGGTCTTAGCTAGTGATGCTTGTTGTCCTATTTGGCAAAGTGTCCTAACATTAAATGCTCCTATATGAAATTGGTGGCGTGGCTTTAGGAGACTATCCGTGGTGGTTTTTTGGCTTTCGTCGTTTTTAGTGGACACAGAGTGAAGAGGGAGTGAGGAGCCATCAAGTAGAGGAGTTGCATCAGTGGGAGGAAGGCAAGGTAATAGAGATGAAGATGAAGACAAAGATAAGTGAGGATTAGAGAGGTTTTGTGTGCATTTCGGATTGTGAGGGCGATTGTTACTTCCCGGCTGCCCACACCGTGGAAGTTGGTTGCGTGACCGCAGAGCCCAGGGGACAACTGCTTGAGGCCGGTCACACGCGGCCTGTTTTTGTTTGTTCTTTTTGTTTGGTGTGCCTCAGTAGCATACTTATCACTCCCGCCCTGTGACACGGCAGCAGGAAGCGCGGTCGTTGTTAATCCGGGCCACGGCCGATCCGGCATGAAATTTTGTGAATTTGTTTGGATCATGGTATTGGATGAGGTAGCTGCTTTTTGTTTAACCGCTATCCAAACAACCTGCCTGGCATGGTAGAACCTCAAGAGACATAAGTCTCAGCCAGTATAGCTTGATTAGGTCATTGCGGTGTTCAAGCCCGACCACCACGTCAAGGTAGCAGCTTTCGGTCGGGATTCTACCACTGTGCCACCGACACACACTGGGAACTTAAGGAGCCTAGTGAAGTTGATTTAACTAATACAACCTCAGATATTCCTTCAGGTAAAGGTGGTGGTAGTCGTTTAAAAAATGAACCATCATTATCCTCCTCATCGTCATCATCATCTACAAGTTCATTTAAGGAAGATGTTGTAACATTCTGTCGTCTATATGCCCTATCTGCTGGTTACATGTTAGATGCTGTTGTAAACCTGGACTTTACTGCAATTGAAACAGTATGGAAAGCTTTTTGGTGTACAGAAGAAGTACGAGATTCTCGTTTAAAACAAAGTTTATCTCAGGAACGCCTTTATTCACTTGTATCGGATCCTGCTATTTTACAATTTGTTCGACTTTATGATCGTACTTTCTATCAATCATTAGCTGAAGTTTTAATTCCAAATGTACTTCGACCTATTCCGCCAACTTTAACACAAGCAATCCGTAATTTTGCTAAATCTCTTGAAGGTTGGATGCGTCAAGCCACGCTTGGTTTAGATTCAGCTCTTGTTGGTTTAAAAGTCTCTGCTGTTTCAGCACTGGCACAAACTCTACGACGTTATACTAGTCTAAATCATTTAGCTCAAGCTGCACGAGCTGTTTTAAAAAATGCTAATCAAATTAATCAAATGTTAACTGATCTTAATCGTGTTGACTTTAATAATGTACAGGAACAAGCTTCATGGGTTTGTCAATGCAGTGATGCTACTGTAAGCCAATTAGAGCATGATTTCAAGAGAATATTACAAAAGCATGCCTCTCTAGAAGAATGGGCTCAATGGTTAGATACAGTAGTTACTAGTATTTTACAGCCACTTGAAGGTAATAGCTTAGCCTATACTAAAGCTGCACGAAACAAATGATATAAAGGTTTGATGGTGGTTTTTTCTGGTTCAGCACATCTAAAGTAAAGTCTTTATTAAAAGAATATTTTTTATCCATCATTATTTGAACAGATTCGTCACATTCAGAAATACGCGTCGGTGGCATAGTGGTAGAATGTTTGTAAACCATGCATGTGGCTCATGGTTAGTTCCTCGGCAGACTAAGACCTCCTTTCCCTAAGCCATTAATAAGAATGCTAAAGAGGTGGGGGGTTGGCGTTGGGCATGAGTCTGGCAACTCCATCTCGTAAAAATAAATACCCCTGCTACCGAAATTTCAAAGCTCTAGCTTGAAGCCCTATGTTCCACTGAAAATGTAATAGTATTATTTTTTCCTTTAATTCCTAGAGGAACACAGGACTTCAAGATAGAGACTTGACGATTTGGTAGCAGTGGTGTTTATTTTTAAGTGATGCGGTTACTAGTCTCATGTCCAACAACCCTACACCCTCTATACCAGTCTTATTGCTGGCTTAGCGAGATAATTGAATGCATCAGTAGCCGAGAATCATATCAAAAACCACATACATGGTTGGCAAGCATTCTACCACTGTGCCACCTACACACACTGGGAACGTAAAGGAGCAAAATAATGATGGCACGTTGTTCTTCTTCTCCTAGTATGGAAGAAGGTATTTTCGCATATACTGGTAAACTCGAAAGTGGTTGAAAGAATGCATATTGATTTTCACCATTTCACGGCTGGATTAGCTTTACACAGAGTAGTTATGTTGCTCATATGATATACTCTTTATTTGTCAGCATAATTGAATAACTGTGAGGTGTGAAGAGTGATAGATTTTAGTTCTTTTCTGAAGTGAAATAACCGCCCTTTGAGTATCATTTAAAAAATATATATATACTGTATTTTAGTGGATATGACTTTTCGATTCCCTCTCTTCTTGTCTCCTCTACCTATCCTAAGTTAGTTTGAGAGCAACTTCTGATGTGGTGGTGGTGGTGCGGGTGGGGGAAGACGGCAGAAATGCCCTACCTATTAGAAACGCTTAAGTACTTCAACTTCTGTCTTTAAAATTGGTACTCGAAGTAAGTACTCAAAGCGAAAAAAGTTGGTAAGAATGAATGAAACAAATAAAATAAAAGAAAGAGAAAAAAAGTTATATATCTTATGACTTTTATGTTACAAAATGAATTTCAATTGAATATTGAATGTGTTAAATTTTGTTCAATTCGACTATTTATTAGTTTAAGATGTTTCTATTTATTCGAGAATGAATTTTGAAAAAAAACTACTTGAAGACTTCTGATCTCACTCTGCTCTTCATATCCAACTAGATTTCAGCTAGTCTATTTAGCCTATCCTAAGCGAGGATGAAGAATGAAGGACTAGCCACGCTATCACAGAAAATCAACCTTATCGTTAGAGAAACTTCAACTAACTAAAAAGAAAAAAATATAAAAGTTGAACCGCCTATTCGCTGGAATTGGAGAGACGAGACAACGACGTGGGTTGGTCACAGTATTCGGCAAACCAATCAGTCTATGTATCAATGGAAATAGAGTTAATAATGCAGTATAGCATGTGAATCAAGAAGATCTTGTATTCGCGGATGATTTGTGGTTAATATCACGTGAACTTAATCTGCAGGCCACAATTAACATGTTGGCAGCGAAAGAAGCGAAGACACGACTTTAAGTGAATATTCTGAAAGGTGTTTCCTCTATTTAAGATTTTTACATTATCCCAAACAAATCGGTGCCTATAATTATCTACATGCACTGATACCAAAGAATATATATCATATCTTTTTACAGCTAATTTGTGTTCTTGAATTTGGATTCAAAGGGGACGCTTACCCTCCCGTCAAATGGGTTCAAATGCCTCCTGTGTAGCCAGTTACATAAGTCGTGCAATAAGGCGTGTTGGTCATCTGATTTCCAATGACCGTCCTCCGTGGTTAAGTAAGGGACAAACTTGATGCATTCATACGTCTATTCTATCTCATCTCGTGGAGACAGAACATAAGATTGATTTTAACAAGGCTGCCTTCAGGTCATCTACCGCATACCAACTAATTTTAACTTTACGTTAAGAGTTCATCTACTACATTGTGCTGAGGCTGGTTGTTGGAATCTACATTCCACTGTGATCTTAACAAATCGATATTATTTAAAAAACACCAATATTGTTAATGAGGATTATTCTAGAATATATTCTATGTATGCAAACATATGTACAATTGTAGAGCAAGAAGAAGAAATTATCGGAAAAGGATATTCTTTACTCAATTTTCCTTTCTAAACGAATATCAGTCAAAGAGACAATTGAAAGCTCTTTCATCCGATTTTAGAAACCAGCAGTTTACACTCACGACTCCACTAGAGGTCGAACCAGATACCTTGAGGTTAAGCAACCATTCAGCCAGTGAACTCATTGGCTTATGAGTTATGACTTCGTCAACTCGTGAAGTAGCTCTGGTTTAACCGGTGCCTTTCATGAGGATTCTTAACACCTTGAATTGTTAGACCCCACAGGCCAGTATAGCTTCAGTACATATATATCCAGTGGCCGTCGATGAGCTGCAAAATTATACTAAGGTTTTGAGTTTCTGGTAGGAATTGGGATTGATTTCGGCCTTATGGGTCTAAATGGTCAACGAGTTCGATATCTTAACCTGAGAGTCCCTGGTTCTATCACCAGTGGGGTCGTCAGTGCTCACGTCTGAATTATCTGTCACAAGATAGGAAAAAAACAGCTGCTCTCTCTAACTAATGTTAGTTCGTGGAGAAATCTAGTAAATTAAATTAATTGAATCGAATCAAATCCGCTGTTGATAAAAATCCATAACCAGTTTGAAATTCGTTTCGTGACTCGTGGTCCAGGTCTTCGAAACACTCTCCCCACTTCTCTTTTCTTTCTTTCTACACGACTTACCATCTTCAAATGACACTAATTTTGTCAAATATGCTGATGACCTAACTGTATCTTTACCTGTCAAATGTCAAAGTGACTGCTCTAAACTAAATGGCTTTTTATCAGAAATCAGCCAGTGGTCCAAAAATAAAACGGTTTTACCTTAAACCCCTTCAAATGCCAAACAGTCAATTTCACCTTTAGGCATAAATCTGACCTAAACAAACTGGTTATCACTCACGAGGTGTGCAACATAGATAGATGGCACTGAAATAGAAACCAAGTCAGAAATTAAATACCTAGGCGTCATTCTATCTTCTGATCTTTCCTTTATTACGCTTGCAGTCTCCTCTTAATCGATAACAGATCACATTCTCAAGTATGCTAAAATTGTTCTTCACATAAATACTCAATAGGTAGTAAGGTCGATTAAGTGGAAAGGCTGAGCGTGAAGCTAGCAACCACAACCAGTTAAAATGAAACTGCTGCTACGAAAACTTTGAAGCTCTGGTCTGAAGCCCTATGTTCCACTTGGAACGTAGAGGAACAAAGGAAACTACTAATGGATGTCTGTCTGTTTTCGACATAGAACTTTGCACAAATGTGCGGAAGTTCAAGTCGCCACATTCCGTGTAGCACGCGAAGCAAGAGAAGAAAGTACAAGAAAAGCATAATAGAAACAGTGAGCAGAGGTGTGAGACAGAGGAGTAATAAAGAAATACAAAACAGTTTCATTGAAGATCATAAGTCACAGGGAGTGGATGTACTAATGACAAATAACATAACCCACAGAGAAGCCGTGGAGACGAAGACTTCGGTTGAAAATGTTTTGATACATATTTTTTTATTCAGCTCAGTTATATTCAAATAGCAGAATATAAGGCTAAATTTACCTGTGCTTCGTTAAAACACCCGGTTGTTTAGCTCTGAAAAGTAAGTAATTAAACCACTTAAGTCCATGGAAAAAAGAGGCTTTTGTTATTCATTTCTAAATATAAACTGTTGAGTGTTTGGCATTTTGTTGAAATTAATCTATTTTGAACATCAAGTATAATAATACCTATCAGGAATATATTTCAATTGTAAACATTTTAAATATATATATGTATGAATAAATTTAGATGGGTGAAAAGCACTTGAAGAGATGCTTATTATATATACTACAGTGAGAAAATTCTTGTTTCAAAGTTATAAACAAGTGAATATTGAGTGGAATCAGTTAGCTAACTAATTTTGGGGGTGATTTAAACTTATTTGTCTCTTCAGGCTAATTCTAAAGCTGAGTATTCTGCTGTTGAACTCGACGCCAAACAACCAGTTGGGTTACTTGACTCCAATAGCGTTCAGCTAATCATATCAGTCAGCTGTACTTGATTGACATTATATATACTGTATGTCTGCCATCTGAGACGTGAGTGAGACATTAATCGATGTTTAATGATATAATGATCAAGACCTGTTTGGTAAATTATCTTATTTGTGAATGGACGTCGATTGAGCTGAAACCAGTTTTTTTTCTTTTCAGTGACGCTGATCTATCTAAAACGTTAGAGGTCTTTATAGTCCTAACTTTATTATGTTTAATGTCACACAGACTCGAAGACTTAGAGGCAGGCGAAGAGGCAGAAGAGGCTAGCAGCGAAGACATAATAATAATAATAACAGCTTTATTCCAAACAGTATTTGTGGTACAGGTATGGAATTTTCAGCGTGCATTACAGTATATTGCATCTAATTACCTCATAAATTATATAAGATTTTTAAAAAATCAAAGATAAATAAATAAAAGTAAAATAAATAAGTTATAAATAAATTAAATAAATAAAATAATTAAAAATTAAGAAAAAACAGCGTAGAGTATTTCATTTCAAACAATGCAACACAGGATATGAAATATAAAATTAGTGTGTATTAGAAGATGTGAACAACAGTGTAATAGTAAAGAGGAAAGGAAAACAAAAACTAATGGGACAATTTGTTAGAGTCCCGCAGTTAGTTGATCGTCTCATACCTAACGGATTTCTCATCATATAACAGCTGTGCTAGATATGGTATTGTGGAGTTTTCGTATTTGGTAGTCCTAGCATATAGCCGTCTATAGCTA